CTATAGTTGGAGCCGACTTCCTTCAACTTCCCCGGGTCAATCGTCAATGGCATCATCCGAGCCCACCAAAGTGAGACTCACCCACACACGTGTGCACTTGCACACATAGCGTAAAAACTCGACAAGTAAGCACGGGGCATGCATACATGCAAGATGGGTTGATCACAAACATATCCAGAGAACACAGCGAACGAAGTCTGAATCTGAATCTTTAGCTGCAAAAACATCAAGGGGACAATGGACAGGATTTTCTCAGAAAAGTGCAGAGTTCTTGCACATCACAAAACAAAAACGATGCTGCGAAGGTAATGGCTCCCCAAACAAAACACTCAAAGATAAAGGGGAAAAAAGGCTCGGCGGCATATGATAGGGGAGTTCCTTATGCTTTTTCTTTCTTTTGTGCTTTTTCTCCTTTTCGTTTTTGCGGGCGAAGCCGCAACGGGTCATCTAGTTTTAATAATGCCCATTTGACACGTTTCATGTTTTCATTCATTCAACCTTCCGCTCGGACGTTTCAAAGAAAGGGAAAACAAAGGTGCACTTGACATCTTTGATCACACCTGATCTGTTCCACTTCGAACTGTTCACAGTGCACTGCAAGCGTGACCACAGCGGGACCTTCTACACTATTAAAATCGCTAAGGGAACCAATCTCAGATCCAGGCCGTCGTCGGTCCTACCGGTTCACGGCCTGGATCGCCCGCACCATGTAATAAATCTAAGATTGCGGCCGTGTGGTCCTGCCGGATCGACGGTCCAGATCAGCGCCCGATCTTAAGATCTTAAGACCGGGCACTGATCTGGACCATCGATCCCGGCCGTCATTGGACCAATCCAGGCCGTTGGGCCGGTTTCTCAAGCCCATCGGCCCGGATCGTTTGTCCGTTGGAGAGGGCCGTTTTTGTGGCGCTATGGGCTGGTACCTCTGGCCCGTAGGCCCAGAGTGTTTGTCCGTTGGAGAGGGCCGTTTTTGCGTGGGGTTCTTGGACGCGTGCTGCAAACACAGTGCTGTTGTTGTCGTACGTGCCCGTCACACTGTGGTTGTCGTACGTGCTGAACAGTGCGTTGTCGTACTCGAAGTTGCTCTCTCTCTCTCTCTCTCTCTCTCTCTCTCTCTCTCTCTCTCTCTCTCTCTCTCTCTCTCTCTCTCTCTCTCTCTCTCTCTCTTCCCACCGGGTGTACTGCACGCAGTGGTGAGCTGTTGTGGTGATCTGTGGTCGCCTGTAAAGTGTTGTGGCCCGTGCTCAACTGTGCGCTGCCGTACTCGAAGTTGCTCTCTTGCTCTCTCTCTTCCCCCCTCCCTGGGACTGCAGGCAGTGGTGTGTGTATGGCCCCGTTGAATCGAAGCCGTCGACAAGATGGGGGATGCAGGTCAGTATTACCCGCGCCCTCCCCTCCCTCCTCCACTCTCTCTCTCTCTCTCTCTCTCTCTCTCTCTCTCTCTCTCTCTCTCTCTCTCTCTCTCTCTCTGTGTGTCCGCGCTCGGCTGGACGGCTCGCGCACCTCCCCTCGGCTTGCGTCCCTCCCCTCCGCTTGCGCCCCTTCCCTCTGCCGGCTGCGCATGCGAGTGTGCAGTTCCTCTCCTCCCCTCACCCCCCCGCTCCTCCCCTCCGCCTGCCCCTCCCCACTCTCCAACTGGCCCGGTCTTCCTCCGCCCTCCCCTCTGCTCGCTCCTCTCCCCCCGCCGCTCCCCACTCTCCAAGTGCCCCGCTCCTGCTCTGCACATAAATGCCGCGCAGGCGCATGAGAGAGAGAGAGAGAGAGAGAGAGAGAGAGAGAGAGAGAGAGAGAGAGAGAGAGAGAGAGAGAGAGAGAGAGAGAGGATGGTGGGCGCGAGAGAGACTGTAACTATCTACGATCCCTCCCGACGCCCCCCCCAAACGATCAAGTGCAGGATCTGTTCCGATCGGTTTCGTATACCCCAATGAAACTGACTACGAGCCCTCCCTCCCAATTCCCCCAACGATCAAGTGCACTATCTTCCGATTGTTTTTCCCCCCAACCCATACCCCCACCAACATCACTTTTCTCCCCCCTTTTTTTTGCAAGCGGAGCTGCAACAGTTACTCTTGTTTTAATAACACCCGTTTGAAAAAAAAGGGAAAACAGCACTGGTGTGTTCTTCCATAGCTTTACCTTCAGCCACCAGTATCTCCGAGCCTCCTTTTTGGGGCGCAGATTTCTGTGGCGTATCTCGTTAATAAAAAGGGAAAACAGCACTGGTGTGTTCTTTTTCTCTTTTGGCTGGCACTACTGGCTGTTTCGGCGAAGTAGGCCGGGCCCCGAAGGACACAGCGCATCAACAGCCACGTTGGAACAGAATGGCTGGGCAAGATGTGGATGAAGTTAAATTCTATTCTGCATTGGGACAACGAGTGTGTGTGGGCATGTGTGTGTGTGTGCCTGTGTGTGTGAGGAGGGGGTGAGAGGAGGGGAGAGGGTCAAGGAAGCAGCAGTAAACCTCACCCCTTCTGTCGTCTTCATGATATAGCCGACATCAAAAGGGGTGCAAGGTGCCCCATGCCTGTGTGATTGCATGGGCAACACCCATACACCACTCACCTAACACACACCTGCACAGTCAAGAACAGTTCAGTTCTTGAGCATGGGTGGAGTTGGGAGTGCCTGGCGCTCTGTCTGGAGAATTGAAGAAGAACTCTTCCCCTGTTATGCCCTGGCTGCAACCTTCCACTTGGTCCTCCTTTTTTTGTTCTTTTTTTGAATTTTTTTCCTGCTTTGCAAAAAGGACAATGACCTTGAGATATCATCTTTTTAAACTGATTGGCCTCAGGTAGCTTTAGAGGTATTTTTACCATCGATTTCATTGGAATTTGAACTAAGGTCTGTGTTTCAATAGTTCACAGGTGTACCAACTGAGCTAGGCCAGTCGGTTTCCACTAACTTCTTCTGTTCCACCAGCCTTGCGCAACTTCATCAAGGAAGGACAACTCGCACGGTCGTAGAAATTTGCAGATGTGAAGAACAGGCTACAAGTCTAAAGAGCGTCCTGGTATGGCCAAATGCTACTACTGCTTTGCTTTGACGTTTATCGAGGTTCTTCCTTCCTGGGTTCTAATCCGCACCTTGCCATTCTTCCCGTTCCTTTTCTTCTTTTGTCTTTTCAACTTTTTTCCTTTGAGGATAGACAGATCGCTCCACGAACTAAGGACGGCCATGTGCACCATCACCCATGGAATTGTTACCATCCGGGATTTTTTTATTTTTTTATTTATTTTTTTTTATTTTAAGGGCGATGGCCTTGAGGTATTATCATCGGACTAACCAGCCCAGGTAAATTCAATCTTGTGTCTAATCTGACAACGGTGGCCTTTTCAGCCCAGGGTGGCCTGATAGCCTTAGGGTGGCCTGATAGCCTTCAGGGATCCCCCACTGGGGGGCACCGGCCAGGGGACAGTCGGTAGCTGAGGGACCGAGCATCATCTGAGTGGCCAGTCGCTGTGCCTCCCTGAGTACCCCTCCCCCTATGAACATCAGCAGAGACTGCTTTTTTAATGCCAATTGGGGGGACCAACGGGCTATCTCTAGGTGGCAGGCGCCAAGCATGCCCAGGAAGGTACACGAGGCCAATGGGGATTGAACCCAAGACCTCCTGAATGCCACTTGCGTGCCTTACCAACTGAGCTAGGCCGCTGGATCCGGGAGATTTGGAAGTATACATTCATCAGAAAGTGCAATGCCGTCCGATTGCAAAAAGAAATGAATGAACTTGAGAGGAGAGAGAGGGAAAGAAGAAGAAGAAGAAGAAGAAGAAGAAGATGTACACCAGTAAAGAGCAATGATAGATAATTCCCTTCTTCTCGCCAACCACGATCGTCCTCCTTTTCTCCGCCCCTCTTATTCTAACAATAAATAACAAATATAATGCGGAATGGCTGAACCAGAATCAATGTCCAAGTCCCTCTTCTTTTTTTTTTTTTTTTTTCAATCCAAGTCCCTCTTCTACTGCAGGGACAACATGAGGTCTACCATAGCCATGGCCACGCTTCTTCTTCCTCTTCGTGTAGGCCAAGGCTATGGCGGACTACTAGGGCCTCAGCCTGCTGTGCAAAGGACAACACAAAGCAGCTATGTTCGCTGCGGTTCAGGTCCCTGTGCCTGACTCCGCCTTGAAGCCTTCTTGGTGCGGTGCAACCCCGATTGGGGCCTTCCAGATGCAGCGCCTAACAAGGTGATAAAGATGGTGCCCACCATAGCCAGGTAGGTTCCTCGCCGCTCTCCCTCTCTCCCGGTCTGCTTCCTCCTAGCAGCGCTGTAATGCCCACCGCTCCTCCCACCAACGCTCCAAGCAGTGTGTCGCCAAACTTGCACACCGAAGAATGAGGAGGAGCACTTTGCTCCCCCTGGAGATACAGCGGCCTTCTTGCCTCTTAAGCGGTGACTTCCTAGGTCGTGCGGCATCCAAGCAATTGGTACCTTCTCCCTTTCCGAGGGAAACATCATTGCAGACTCTGATATTGCCCGTACAGGCCCTAGACTCGGACTGGTTGGACTTGTACCCGCCTAGACCTAGACCTAACCTACAACTACTGGGCCTCTAAAAATGTCAACTTTTGTCCTCTTCTGCTCGGCCTCGAGTACCCGGCACATGTACTTCTACTTGGTGTGGTACCGGCCTACCTGCTGCTTGAGTGTTTTCCCGCTGCAACCCTCAATGTCACGGCCACAGGTAAGTACCGGCTCTACGGGCCTCCAAACAAGCAAGTACCCTTGCGGGTCACACACACGCACTCAGGCCGACCAGCACTCGGACAGGCACGCAGACCATCAAGCACACACACACACAGACTTAAAAAAATCAGTAGAATGTGGGAATCTCAGCAAGGCATCCATTCCGGCGGCGAAAGTCAGAAATCAGCGGTGTTCTCAGTCTGTGTTTTGGCGGGTCATCACGGGATCAAGAAAGAGCTCTGAATCTGTGTCAATTTTTGCAAGTCTGGACCTCGTTTGTAACCCGCGTCACTTTTTTTTTTCTGCCACAGGAACGGTATGAGGATGCGAAAGATCTGGTCAGAAGTCTGGTGGATCTTCAGCAAATCTTCCTAGATTTGGCGGTACTGGTCGAGGAGCAGGGAGTTTTACTAACATCAATCGAGAAGCATGTAAGCGAAGCAGGGGAGTATGTGTTCCGTGGAACCAAGCATATCGAGGTAGCCAAGGAAACACAGAAAAGCTCCAGGAAGTGGATGTGTTGCGCGATTATTATCTTGCTTGTTATTATCGCCATTATTTTGACAGCTGTGTTGGCGTCTGCACGAAATGCTTGAGTGTTTATGATAGGTAGCGTCGTAGTTAGTTGGGTGTTTGAGGTCTCTCTCTATATTGCTATCTTAGCATACTGCGTCGAGTTAGGGTACGATGGAGAGCGCAGCGTGAGTACCGAAAAAGGTAGAGGGAGGGCGTGGTAAGCAAAAGACGTAACAATAACGTGGAATAGCGGCGGTGTGTAGCTCTGAAAAATCAACAAAGGAGGAAGTAGAAGGGAGAGGAGGGAAGAAAGGAAGGAAGGAGGTTCTGTCTGTCTGGGTGACGACGTTTTCAGGAAGAAGGAACAGTGGAGTTGTCGTATCATCGGCACCGTTGGCTGGGTTCGAGGTCGGATGGACAGATCTATGGCATGAGCTCCGTTTTTTTTTTTTTTTTTTTTCTGTTCGTATGTTTTTGCTTTGAGTTGCAGGCCATGCTTAAGTATATATACAGGTATGCATCGGATTGATTAAAGGGTGCAGAGCCAGGAGCTGCCACCACAAAACCTCGTCTTTGCTTTGTGCATCTGTTGGTGGCTACCATAGATTTTGTGTTTGGATTTTGAGGGCATGTGTTGTGCGGGAATGTAATGAGAGTTGGTTTGAATGGTGGATCACACGAGTGCTGTCCTCTGGAAATGGTACAGGCTTGTGCCCTTTCCGTTTGTGATGGGCAAGAAATGGCCGGCAGGCATAAGATGCGCATGGTGTACTAATTTTGGGCTTGCGAAAGTGTTCTTAGAAAACGACTGTCGTTGATAGTAGTTTGGAACTTATGGAGGAGGAGGGGAGAGAGAGAAGGGCGGAGATGGGCAAAGGAAGGCGGAGGAGGGGGCAGGAAGGGGGAGGCAAGGCGGGAATGGAAGCAGGGGATAAAATGCAAATGCTTCACATCGGTGGCTTGCGGATCTAGTCGATAATGGTGGTGGTTGTGATCAGACACACACACTCCGCTTGCTGCATGGGTTTGCAAGAGGCTGTGGAATGCACAGAGACTGTTAGCCAGCCTCTGGATGACAGTCAGTGTGCATGGTTAACACCGCAGTATTGTCAATGATCGTATCTTTCTACTGTCTACAGCTGTTGTGGGGCATCATGTTTCCAAAGCAAAGAGGTAGACGAGTCATTCGTGGCGCGGTGCTGCAAATGGGGGGAGCAATATGGGTAGAAGAGTCCATGGAAAATTGTATGCGTGCGCTGGGCAAAACTGACAAGCACTGAACTGGATGCCCTTTTTTCCCCCTATTTTTTTTTTACCTCTCATTTTGTTCATCCCCAGCCCCAGCCTGTTTCTGGTAGGAACACACACTTTTAGAAGAACACCCACACACCCACACGTTTGCCGTGGTATGCCAGATCAAGAATAACATCACACACACTTTTAAAAGAACACACACACACACACACACACACACACACACACACAC